CCTGCTGAAGCGGGATCGAGGAGGAGGCCTTATATCCCGTGCCTCTGCTGTTCCAGTACTGCTTACCCTTCCCCCTCTTGCCTGACTCTCAAAGCTAAGCATGTTTGTTCATAATACTTAATGGATCTCCCCATACTCACAGGACTGATCGAGAACTACACTTCAAGCCATTCAGTTCTAAGCATGCCCTGGAGCAGTGAATGCTGCCAAGTGATGACTACGACTGACTCTATGGGCACAAAAGCAGGAGAGACTTACTAATGCAGTTGATCTGAGACGATACCCAACCTGACCATGATTACCCTGAAGGACATGTAATCCAAGCAAGCCAATAAATTGGGGGAATGCAGCAGCTACGCAGTCAGCCACCATGCCAAAAGCCACCACTGCATAGATACAAAACCCCTCAAAATGCTTTCAAAAGGGTGGCCATGTTAATCTACTGTAGCAAAGGGAAGCAGCACTTTCTCATCAAGTTTATTCCCCCACTGGCTTTCATAAAGCAGACCTCACTTCTTCAGATGCATCTGACTAACACAAGAATAAATATGTTAGATTAGAGTCCAATAGCAATTTAGAGACAACAAGATTTGGGAATATCTATATATCTAATACCCAAGTCGCCCCATCTGTGCGGATCGCTAAATCCGCGCTCCGGGGCGACTTGGGGGGCAGGGAGAGTTTTGTGCACTCTTGGGGCAGTCCCCAGGGGTGCACAAAAATCTAAAAACTAAAAAAAAATATCGGGGGATATTTAAATCCCCCCCGAAAGTGTCAGAGCGTCCGTGCGCATGCCGGCATTTGGAAGGCGAGTGGCGAGCAGGGGGGGCAGAGTGGCGAGCGGCTCGTCGCTCGGCCCTCGGCTCGGAGCCGGTGTGGAAGAGGGGGAAGCCGCTGCCGCTGCCACCAGGCGGGCGGCTGGGGAACAGCGAGGCCCCGGGGGCTGCAGAGCGGGAGAGGGGCAGCCAAGCGCAATGGTTCTCGCGCCGCCCCTTCAGGCCTCCGAGGGTCTGTTCTTGGGGGGGGAGACAGAGAACGGGGGAAAGACAAGAGACGGGGGGAAGAGAGAGAACAGGGGGAGAGGGAGAAGGGGGGAGAGAGAGACAGAGAGAGAGAGAGACTGGGGGGGAGGGGAGAGAAGGGGGGAAAGAGAGAGACTCCCCCCCGCGAGTATCGCGGGTCCCCCCCCTTGTAAGCTTCTAAGAGCCTTTGTCAAATACATATCTGATGAAGGGAGCTCATGAAAGCTTCTGCCCTGAAAATCTTGCTCGTCTCTAAGGTGCTACTGGATTTGAATCTAGTTTTTCTACTGCAAACTAACACTGCTTTCCTCTGGAAGAAACATGACTAGTTTTCAAGGGGGGGTCACTTGATTTCTGCTTCACTTCACTTGAAATGCTGTTTGTTTCAGACTGAGAGTTGTGATAAAAAACTCAACAGAAAACAGGCACTGTGAATAATAGATTCAAATGTCTATCGCATTTTTATTCAGGTTTGCGGTGTCCCTGAACATGACACCCAATATAAGGAGATTTCTTTCATTACATTCTCTTAATGAATAAGCAGACAGACATAAATTGTGTGTGTCGGATATTCTCTTTATCCGTTCCCCAACCGCTGTCTTTCATACACACGCATCCCCATTCATTTGAATCTGGTCCTAGGAATCCTCCTGGGCAGTTCTGCTATGAGACTTGACCTTGGCCTAGTCACCTAATAGGAATCGGCAAGCAGGTGTCTTAGGTCCTGCCTTTTCATATAACCATTTGCTGTATTATTCTGCTGCTCCTATTAGCATCACTGGCTTTTAAAACACTGTCAGTTATTTGGTTTACAAGGCACCTAGTTCATCTCTTCATGATACTCTCTGCCGGCGGTCCCCAACCTTTTTGAGCTTGTGGGCACCTTTGACATTCTGACACAGGGTGGTGGGCACATCCATAAAAAGGCTGCTATAGGAGGCAGAGCCCTCCCCCACACACACACTCACACACAGAGGAAGCCCAAGCGCAGGTAGAAAAAGGGTAATTCTTAAAAAGACACAGAGAAAGAGGAGTGAGAGATTAAAACCAGCTCCATTGTGGCAACTGCTGCTGAAACTGGGTTCTTTTAATCTGCAGAGCCAGTCAGATCCCCAGTAGCCAATTAGAAGTCCTGCTTTGCTTGAGCCCGATGTGGCCCCACCCTCTTTATCAAAACCCTCAGTGGGTGCCGGGAAAGATGCTGGCAGGAGCCGTGGTGCCCATGGATGTCCTGATGGGATTGGGAACCCCTGCTCTATGCCTTGTACTGAAGAATGGTTGGAACAGGGCAGTCAGTAAATGACTGGTGGCTCCTGCGTACAGTTCAGACATATTCTTTGCTTGTTCTTGGGGTCTTCTAGGAGAGGTCAGGTATTCTCTCATTGGTTTGCTCTTTTTGCTTTTTAGTTTGTGCATTCTGGTTTCTTTTACCTGGTATTTCCCATTGACCCCCCCCCCCCAAGCTATTTAATTTGTTTCTATTAAGCCATTGAGGCTGTGTGTTTCTTACCCATTCAGTGTAGTCCAAGGGGACAAGACCCCAAGTGACAAACCATACGATTCACACAAAACTCATATAAATGTAACATTCACACATGACATTCATCCACACAGGGGCTGACCCAGTTGCCCAACTCCTCTGGCACATGATGCTAATGTGAAGGAGATCCCCCTGCTGCTGCCTGCATCCTGTTAACAGCCTTCCCGTGGAGGCAGAGCTGCTGTCAGGGAACCATGATGTGCACTTGAATCGTAAGGGCCAGGCTAGACTGGGCCCTAGTCATAGTGTAACTGTTGAACAACTCTGCAACAATTACAGCCGATACTAATGGAAGCTTCAAAACCTGTGGCCTGTACTTTTGACTCTTTTTTTGGTACTACTTAAATTGGGGGTGGGGTGGATATGTTTGCAGAAATGCGTTCTTGCCATCTATGCAACATGTGATTTTATGTGAGACCTTATTTGTCTGTGTTCAACCATGTTAAGTCCCCTAAAAGCCATCCAAAGTCATCTTCACAAATAGACTTTGGTCCAATCTGCATCTAGCATTTGCTCTGCAGTTTTACCAAACCCACGCAAATTCCGTCTACATTGCATGTCACTTTCACTTTGATTGGTTGTCGGATTTTATGGCGGTGTCCAGACCGCATACCGCTTTCACTTTGTTTGATCTCTCGATTTTATGGTAGCATCAGCATAGATTTATGACTGTTTTATGGCCATTTGGGGTGACTCTGCAGTCAGTACGGTGTTGGCCAGGGGTATCTGAATGTGGTTTTGAGCCGATCTTTTTCTGTTCCCGTGTGGTTTTGGTAAAACAGCGAAGCAAATGCTTGATGCAAATTGGGCCTTTGTGACCTTACTGCTCCATATTAGTGAACTGCTATTGGGGATACTGCAAATCTCAGTACAAACATAACCATCAAACTTTCCATGTTCAAAGGTGTCAGTCAGATGTGAGCCATTTGTCTGCCCTGTTCAGTTTGTGCTGAACGTACTTTTCCGTTCGTGCCAAACAGCCACAAAACCTGTCGGTTTGCATCAGGTTTTTACAAAATGGCACAATGCAATTCAAACCTACCAGGAGCCATTAATATCACCCTGGAGTACTTAGATGAAGACTGACGGGTAGGATTCTGTTAAAACACAGCATTTATTTATGAGTGATTTATATGATTAGTGACCAATTTAATTTTCTATTTAAATAATTGTTTGCTGAGCAGAGCAAATATGCAGCAAAGACGGGCTGAGGGTAGGAGCTCAACTGAGCTGTGTAAGCATGCACATGAGCAAAAAGCCAATTGCTCTGCACTGCATGGTGAGGAAGGAATACAGTGAAGCAACCTGCTGAATAGCTGTGAATAGGTCAATAGCCATTCAAATCAGCTCTCTAGTGAACCAAACTGCTAGGTGTCTGAGTATCCCTATAAGAGATAAAAAGATAACCCCTGACCGATTTCCCACAAGCAGCTGTGCCACCCTCGCTCTTCCATTTGCCCTGGTTGCGTTGGTCAATTTCACACTATTCGCTGCGTGGTCGCATTTTGACCTGCATCTCCCCACGATTCCACCCGCGTCTTCTCAAACCTTGTTTTTTGAGATGGGGGGGGATGCAGGTCAAAATGCGACCACGCAGCGAATAGTGTGAAATTGACCAATACAACCGGGGCAAATGGAAGAGCGAGGGTGGCACAGCTGCTTGTGGGGAATCGGTCCCTGATTTTTAGGAATAAGTGAATTGCATTTCTATTGTGTCAGATGTCTATTAATACAAGGGAGTCTTTTTGCCAATTCCTCCCTCCCACTGCCAACCTCCAATGCCCCCTCATGTTGTTCTCCAGGTCTTGCTTTTCCCTAGGAGCAGCATTTTACCATGTCCTTTGTTTATAGTTTTGTGAATACTTTTGGTCCTCCACTTTTCACTGTTGGTTATATAGAACACATGAACACATGAAACTGCCTTATACTAAATCAGACCCTTGGTCCATCAAAGTCAGTATTGTCTGCTAAGACCGCAACAGCTCTCCAAGGTCTCTGGCAGATGTCTTTCCCATCACCTACTGCAAGATCTTTTAACTGGAGATACAAGGAATTGAACCTGGGACCTCCTGCATGCCAAGCAGATGTCCTACCACTGAGCTGCAGCCCCTCCTTCAGACAAATAATAATTAATAATTATCTTATGGCAT